CTATTCTGTTAACCTCAGCAGTCTAGGATGTGATTTCTTATCAACATCCAAGCCATGGCTCTCAGTCATTGGGTTTCCTAACTTTATGCTTACTCCCTTATCTCTGTTTCTGAATCTAATCATTTGAGACATTATATTTTTAGAAAATGTACATGTTCCCCCATTCTTCTCAGTTTATAAGCTGATTATAACCCCATGACCTGATGTATGCACATGTTGTTGGTTCTTCCGTCACAGCCAAAATCCTGAGCTTTCTGCCCACATCTTCTCACTGTGGCAACCAAAGGACACAGGTCTTAGGGAAAACTGACCACAGGCTGTGGGTTTGTATCAGTCAAGTTTACCTTGGTGTGATTTAGATTTGATAATTAATTCTATAGTGGTTACAAAAGTTCATATTAATATGTGTCTCAAAAATTGTCTTCCTTTATATTATCTTTTCATTTTACATATTGTTTTTGGTATCAACCTCTTTGTCTAGTGTATGTTTTAACAGTTGGGTTAACATTTAGGATCAACATCCCATTTAGGAACCCTCTGCAGGGATGGAGAGATGGGTCTCAGGAGAACAGATGACTGGAAGGCAGGGTATCTCACCACTTGCTCACTCCAGAAACGACTGAAGGAACCAGGTTGAATGGACCTGTATTGGAGCCTTCCTTGGTCAAGGGGAACATCTCATGGATCTCAGAAGTTCTCACTCTCTCCCACAGGGCAAAGACCCTACTTTCCCTTTCCCGCTTTCTAACCACCGGAATATTCTCCCCTTGGCTGTATCCTTAAATACTGGGAGTGCTTTGATCCTGTTAACAAAAAAAAAAAAAAAATGACTAGTTCTCTTCACAGCCCATTTAAAATTATTTACTATTCTTTACATCCTGCCTAAATTAGTCCTTTGCAGACAAAACCCTAAAGGTAGAATTTTCTGGTAAACACGAAAAACTAAACTTAAAGTAAAAATTCTTCAAAATTAGAAAATGGTTCTAATACTGCCAGTGCCTTGTACATGCATCTAAATGTTATAAATCATTTACAAAGTTATAAATGTATACATGTAAACAGCTATAGTCCTTTTATCTAAGGTACATTCTACCTAGTACGTCTTTGACATTTCTGCTCTTTATGACAAATGCTAAAAGTTCTGCCATTTAGGCCTGATATCTGTCAGATAAACTAATGTTTATAACATTGGCTAAATAATATATATGATATACAATAAAACATTAAAATGGGCTATTTGAAATTACTGAATCATTGGAAAATCTATGGTTTTTGTCATACTGTATTGACAGTACTGACAACCACTAACTTGTTACTTTAACTAACCAAAATTCAAGATTTAAACTGTGATTAACCATGGTTACTTTAAATTTTGTCAGTACAATTGTGATTCTTCTAAAGCATTTACAGGCAAGCCCATGAAAAATGACTCTGACAAGTGCTTATTTGTCAACCAGGACAGACATTTTAAAGTATTGGGGTCGTTTTGTATTTTCCTTGTAAACACTTTATAACTGGTGTCTGCTGACATTTTACAGCAATTTAAAGGTGTCAGCATATCCCCTATGGAACAGGAAATTCGATTTAATTGAGCCCAGCCTAAGGGCCATTTTTAAAATAAATCTCTTTGTTGCTTAATTTGGCCAAAAAGGTCACATTGCCATTGACTTCTGATCTGTTCAATGTGTTACTTCCCCTCCTCCATGGGACAAAAATCTGGCTTTCTGGGAGAAGCTACTCCTGGCTCCGATGGATAAAACTGCCAAATTGGCAGAATCTTCAGAGAGGACTATTAAGAGAAACAGTTTAAGAGGATGCAACCCCCCAAGCAGTCAATGTCCCCCAATTTCTTAGAGGACCAAGTGGTGTTCAACCACCTGAGACGGTTCAAAAGGACTACACAAATGAGGGGACCTCTCCAGATCTAGATGGAGTCAATTACGCCAGACCACTAAAAGTAACCAAAGCTGAGAGACTTTAAAAAGGGGTTCTTACGCATGTGCTCTAATAGTTAAGCCTTCTAGGCTTCTGGCAAAAGGCAAACTTAAGTCTTTGACCAAGACCTTCTGTTTGAGCAAAGGCAATATCACTTTCAGTGTTATCTAACTTCTGCTTAGAGACACAGTGAGTCTTCTTTCTGTACAGAACTGACTCCTATTAATGTTTGCCCTCTAATTGGACTGATACCTGCCCCATAGAACACCTTGTCCCTAATCTAGAATGGCCCACTACAGTAGCAGTCCAAATAGAGGGCCATCTAAGGGTTAAAAAATAGGTACAGGTATAAACAACAATAGGCAAAGTAACCATAAGACTCTGTCACTTTTCAAAATAAAAAGTTAGATTCTTTATTCTTCCTGCTACACCTGTCAGGGCCCTTTCTGATACTCCTAACAATGATCATGTTTAGATCATGCCTTCTCAACCAGATTTATCTCTTCCATGATAAAAGCCTTTAGGACCCAATCATGAGACAACAGGGCTATCACTATCTACAGATGAATGAGATCTCCATGAGGAACCCTAATTGTATTGGACAATAACTTACACAGCTCGTGTTCCAATGAGCCCCAAGGGAAAGAAATAGGAGAGATAATTTCCCATTGTAGGCAGGGTCTGCTGCCCCTTGTCAGCTTGAAGCAGTTCAGAAAAAAAGAGAACTTAGCCCTTCAGCAACCTCAAAAAGATTCTTTTGGGATCTTGTCTCTCGGGGAGTTTGAGGCAGGCTAGAACCAGGGAAAGTTTAGGACTCGTATGTAGGTTGCCCAGGGACAGCCCAGACCACTCTTTCAATGGCTGGGAACTGACCATGCCCTCCCCACTCATAGATTACTGGATGGGAATCACCTGGTTCTGCCCTTCCCATAGGTTAGTGTAGACTTTAAAAGTGCCTGAAAAAGAAAACACGCAAGCTCTGCCAGCAGACTCCACCTACCCCCACTATGCTCACTTTTGTATTTCCCTTCTCTAACTTTTAATAAACTCCTTTTACACCCATGTGTCCCTCCATGGATTATTCCCAGTGGGACACAAAGAATTTGGAAGTCTTCCGATCACAGACTTCACCTGCACTGTTAACACCCCACACACATACTCCCCTGTTTTTTTATTCTTCTCCCCTCAGTCTCTTTTGCAGCTTCATTTCCTCTGCCATGAGCAGAACAACCACACTCACTTGGCCACTACATGATTCCAGTCAGATTCTACAAGTGATGTTTCTCTAAACTGTATTTTCCCCAGGCTTTGTCCCTGAGTTACAGACCCAAATAGCCAACCATGAACTTCAGGTAACATAACCCCAAACTACATTTCAACCTTCAGTTCCAGTTCAGCTTCCCCTCACTGTTCCCTGTGTCCATAAGTGGCACCAGCAGTCAGTTGTCCAAGCCAGAACCCCAGGCACCATCCCCAACTCCTTCATTTTAACCACCAATGCCTGTCAAGTCTACTCATTTCTTTCAAATGCACACATCACTTTTTTTTCACTGTGCCTACTATATCCTGCACACCTAAAGTAGCCTTCTCACTGCCCTTTTTGCTTCTCATCTGACTGCCCTAGCTACATTTTACCATATCACAGCCAGGAAAACTTTCAGATACACATCTCATATCTTATCACACTTCTGCCTACAACCATCCATGACTCCCACTGTTGCTAGGAGAGAGTCCAGGCTCCCAACTCGTGCCACCTGCATAACCTCCACTTCTTCATATTGAGACATCTCTTCTCCTGGAAGGCTTTACATGTTCATGCTGGAAGAGGTTGGTCCCCTGCACCTGCCTCACCTCAACACCATCTGATGTTATTGTCTTTCCTCCAGTGTCTAAACAGGAATGGGATTGAGTAAGACCAAGCAAGGCATGAATCATGTTCTTGATGGTTCCTCTTCTGCACACTCTGTCTTCTATTGAACCCCTGGGAAATTCTTCTGGTGAGAGAATCTGATGTGGGGCTTAGGAACCAGGAAGCTCTGAGTAATAATACTCCAATTCAGGCATTATTACACCACTTCTTTCATGGGATTTCTGCCCTGTGAAATGAGATGAATGCTTCCTCTTCACAAGATGAATACTAGGATTGTGAATGGAGAGCCCAGCAAAGCAGCCAAGCCTGCTCAGGATGAGGACCACTACTGAGGGAAACGAAGTTCTAGGAAGCTCCCCCTTTGAAGTGTACAGGTTCCCAAGATTCTCCTCCCAAATGAAGTGGCCCAATGCTCACTGTGTGCTTCAGGGAAAATCAACCTTATTAGCATCTCTACCAATGGGCTTGTAGCCTCCAACCACTTCCTAGTTTTAGTGGTCACCAGAAGCAACTACATGGCCCAAGGTAGCTCGGCTCCCTTCTTGCATTTTGCAAAAACAGCTCTGCAGTATGGTGCCTAGGCAGCAGCGGGTAGTGGTTAATAGAGAAGGTTCTAAAGCCAATCTGCCTGTGTTCATATACTGACTTAGCAGCTATGGGACTTTGGACAAGTTACTTAACCTCCGTTTCCTGATCTGTAAAAGGAACAAAATACTAGTGCTTTTTAGGGTTGTAAACTTACTAAGTTTTATTAGGGACAAACAAGACTTTTCCTCTAGCAAAAAAGCAAAGCTAACGTCTGCTAATGTTTTTCCTGGCGCTGCATGGTTTGATCTGGCAGGAGGCAACGCCCAGGATTCAAGCTCTAGGGGAGCCGCACTAAAATAGAAAGGGCGCTGGACTTGCAGCCATCTTTGGGGGTTCCAGTCATGAATGCTGTTTGACCCCGATCAAGCTCTTCCTGCAGATAAACTCAATATACGCAGCATAAAATTTAAGCCCTTGACCAAGAAGCACCTCAGCAACAGACCTAGGCCCCACCCCCAAGGCTAGCTTCACACACTGCGCAAGCGCAAGTCGCTCAAGCCTGGCCTCTCTTGAGCGTCCAATCACAAATGACTGTCCTCGTCCCCGCCCACAGACAGGAGGACCCAATCAACGACGAGATCCCATCCTGCTCTGGGTCCCTGCGGCGCGGAGTACTGGGTAGTTTACATGCGCCGAGATAGGTGACTCCAGAGGCGGGGTTCGGAAGAACCGGATCCCCGGGATGTCGGTGATTTTCGCACCAGACTGGCTGAGAGGCAAGGCGAAAGTCAATCAAGAGACTGTCCAGAGGGTGAGCGTCCAGGAGTCTCTGATAAGAATCCAGCCCCCAAAAGGCTAGAGAGCGCGGGGAGTTTCCTGGAGTGTCGGGTCACGGTTGAGACTTAGGTCTGCGAAGTGGGGATGGGAACCAAGTCAGCAAAGGCGCAGGAACCAGACTGTCGGGCCTGGGATCTGCAGTCCTCCCCGCCTTCCTGAGGTCACCCTGCACTGACCCTTTCTCTGATCTTTCAGCTCCTGGAGGAGAATGACCAGCTGATCCGCTGTATTGTGGAATATCAGAACAAGGGCCGGGCGAACGAGTGCGTGCAGTAAGTGTCTCCTTCCTCTGAAATTGAGTGAGAGGGAAGCCAGCGTGATGATGCAGCAGCTGTTCTAATGTGACCTAGGAGTCTTGGGTGATTGATTGAGATGAGCCTCATTTTACAGTCGAAGAAAGGGAGACTCAAAGAGGTTACTTACCTGCCCAAGACCATATAGCCAGTACATTTTAGAGCCTGAAGTTAAATAGATGTGACGCCCTCTACAAAACTTGATTATTCTCACTGAAAAGCCATACTCATGTGAAGCGATGCCACCTGATGACAATGGGTGGGTAGGGGAGCACGCAAAAGTAGGCTCAGGAGAGGAGAGCCATGATCTCTTAAACATCATGGGTTGCTCCCTCATCCTCTGTTCAGTAAGAGAGTTCATTTGACTTCTAAGCTCCCTCCCACTTCTAACTTGTAGTCAGTCTGTCAGTGGGGCATATGAAGACAAAGAAAGGATTTCCAAGTTAAGCCAAAGGCAAATTCTTTACAGTTATTGAATATACTCAAATACCAAGAGAGAAAGTGAAGTTTCTTTTCCAAATCTAGTCAGAGACTTATGCCCCATTTCTTATAGAAAGTATTTCATTGTTACTGAAGATACGTTTAACAACGCTGCACTTTCACTGCTCTCGAAAAGTCATCTGCGAGCCTTCCTCACTGAGTACTCTCCCATTCTTCTGCAGAATAATAATGATACCTAGTTTAGAGTCTTTGTTTCACTCTGACATTCGGTAATTTGCTTTTTTTATAGTTTAAACATGTTCTCATTTTTCTATATGCAAAATGTGGTTGCAAAACATTGTTTGGTACAGTGATTCTTAACGCAGGTATAAGAAAGTTATCAAAATCTCCTAGTAGTCTTTTTCACATGCACAGGCCATGTTTCCTGAGCCCTAGTCTGACTTATCTTCCTGAATGGGCAGCTCTACCCCTTATTGAGAATCGCTGCTGTAGTAAGCCACATTGATCATGGAAGTGTCTCATCTCTTCTGGAACTTTGTTCAACAGTACGATAGAAAACAGGCAATGTTTGAGGTACTGGGGAATCAGTAGCAAAAAAGACACCAGCTCTGACATTCCAGACCCTAGAATCTAGCGGGAGGAATATATAATTAAGCACATAATAATAAGTGCTTTAAATGAGACTAAAGCAGGAAGCCAAGTGTGTTACTCAGTGGTAGAGCATTTGTCTAGTGTGTGTGAGGCCCTGGGTTCCATCCCCAGTATTGCAAAAGTAAATAAATAAATAAATAAAGTAGGTAAGTATGGTAAATGAGGAGGGAGGTATCATTTTATACAGAGTGTCTCTAATAAGGTGACATTTGAGTAGATATCTGAGGTGAAGGAACCAACTATGCAGATAAATATGGCAGAGCATCAGATGGAAAGGCCTCCTGGTAAGAGTATGCTGGATATCTTCCTGTCATAGCCTCAGAGGAGGCCAGTGTAGCCAGAATTCAGCAAAGGGAAAACCACAGGAGATGAGATAGAGAGGTAACTGGAGACCCCCATCACATAGGGCTTTGTGGGGCATGAAGACAGTTCAGCTTTACTCTAAATGACAGGAGTCTTTGGAGGGTTTTAAACAGTTATGATGGGGCTGTCAGAGTGGCTCAGGTGGTAAGAGTGCCTGCATAGCAAGGGTGAGGATCTGAGTTCAAACCCTAGTACTGCTGAAAAAAAAATTAATAAACAATTAATGACATGATCTTCATATAGATTGTACAATCATCACTCAGATTCTGGAGAATAAAGTAGAAATATAAAGGTAGATCATGGAAATTAGAAGACTATTAATATAGTCCAAGCAAGAAATAATAGTGGCTTAGTGTGGAGAGGTAGCTGTGGAAGTGGTAGATGAGAATGGGTGAGCTGGAAACATTCTTCTTGACTCTGTTAGACAAGAAGGTTGATGACACTGAATCATCTAATCAATGGATAAGCCATTTCACTAGAGTGGTAAATTCTCTTCCAGTTTTTGTTCATGATCAGTAAAAACAAGTCTCTAATTTTTGCCATTTTTCACCCATAGGTACCAGCATGTGTTACATAGAAATCTCATTTATTTAGCTACCATTGCAGACGCCAGCTCAAACGGGACTCCAAAAGCAGTGGAATAATCTTCTAGTTTGCTGTTGTGAGGAATAACTGGATGTAATCCATTTCCTATGAAACAGAATCTTTACAAACTTGGCTGTTTAAAACACACATGAAAACTCTGTGGTTCTTTTTTGAAATGTGAAGAAAGCTACTAACCTTAACTATATTCTCAATGTAAATATTTATTTTAATAATTAAGTGGGTCCCTCAATAAACTGTACGGACTTAATAACCATAAGGTATATGACAATGCCACTATCATTGTGAACAAAATTAGTGATTCTAGTTATTATCTGATAATAAATGATAAGCAATTTTCTTCAATTATCCCAAAAATGTCTTTTTGTTCATTTGTCTGAATTGGGATCCAAACAAGATTAATAGGTTGCATTTTGTGGATGTCAATTTAAAAATACTTAAGTTTCTCTTTTTTCCTTTTCCACTTGTTGAAAAAGTAGGTCATTTGTCCTTAGAATGTCTCATGTTTTGGATTCATGTAGTTGTATCCCTGTAGTGTCATTAAATACGTACCACTGTTACCCACTTTTCCTGTAAAGTGGTAGATCTAGAGGCTCGTTCAAACTCAGATTCTGATATTTTGGGCAAGAATACATCAGGTGATTAGTATTTGTTTTTGCATCATATCAAGAAGTGACCTGATCTGATTTATTTTCAAGTTCCTAACAGCCTTTCACTTATATTATGATCTACTCAGCTTGCATCTTTTAATTCATTAGACATTGAATAATGGTGATTTTTTTTTTAATGGCGGTACTGGGGTTTTATCTCAGGGCCTTGCAATTGCTAGGCAGGTACTCTACCACTTGAGCCACACCCCCAGCCCTTTTCACTTTTTAGTTATTTTTAAGATAGGATTTGGCATTTTTGCCCACGGCCAGCCTCAGACCACAAGCCTCTGACCTACACCTCCTGTGTAACTGGGATTGTAGATGTGATTATTGTGCCCAACTTGTTTATTGAGATAGGGTCTTGCCAACTTTTTTGCCCAGACTGGCATTCAACTACAGTCCTCTCAATCTCTGCTTCCTAAGTAGCTGGGATTTCAGGCATGATTTTCTAATTTTGTCATTCTTTCTGCGGTTATTAGCTGTGTTCTATAAAAATCTTTCCCTCTTTAGACTTATCTCTAAAATGCAGCAAAAAGATTCTCATCGTGATCCCCAAATTAGAAGCCTACATCCCTGTTCCTTTTGTTGGACTAAAGGGTTGCAACCCAGAGTGGCTCTAATATGTAAATAGTTAAAGAATTCATTTTGAGTCTCAGCTCTGTCCTTTAACCTCAGATCTCTGTTTCCTCACCTCTAAAATAGAGATAATGCAAACAGTGTCTGCCTTCCAAGCCTGTGGATGAGATAATGTAGTTGGGAGCTGGGCACACAGTGAACACACATTGCATGTTGGCTCTGTTGTTATCCGAGGGTTCTGGCCCACGAAGGCCACCTCCATTCTGGGAGAGAACCTTTTCTCAGCCCCTCCTCCCAGTCTGTCATCTAATGGTTTTTGCTCATTTGTAGTCTTCCTCCTCCACTGCTCTTGGGGTTGGTACCCATACACTATACCAACTGGCAAGGCGGACTGTGCCTGGGCCTGAGGCTGTGCAGTGTTTTTGAATTAATTGCTAACATTTAAAAGTAAGATTTCCTGCTGGTGAAGTGGCACAGCACCTGCCTAGCAAGCATGAGGCCCTGAGTTCAAGCCCCAGCACCACAAAAAGAAAAAAAGATTTCCCACAAAGCCTGACTTCTAGCAATGCTAATGTGCAGATCCACACAGCTGCCATCAGCTGGAGCAGGGTGGCAGCTATTCCCCTTTATTAGGCAGCTTGACTTGTTTACGTAAGACCTGGCACCCATAGACACTTGGATGGAGCCAAAATACTAGCTCCAACTGGAATGTGAGCACAGACTGACATTTCAACTTGTGCTTCCTCCAGAGCAAAGCCTGAGACAAGATGTTGGGAGCAGGTAGATTATTTGGGAGATGATCCCAAGAAGTAGGAGGAAGGCCATGGTGAGAGTGAGACGGGATGAGAGAACTTAAAAGGTTGTATTACTAAGTCACTGCTATAGTCAGCAGGGGCTTGATTCTGTGGGAACCTCTGAGAACATGCAGAATGTCCCAGAACTGGACACTTGACAGTGAGTAGAGGTTGTCTCCAGGAGCATTAGTTCTAACTAAGAAGCAGCCTTCTCCTAAGAATCCTAGATGTCAGAGCAGACAGAAGAAAGTAGAAAGCTGCAGGGTAGATCTCTCCAACCTTGTAGGAACTACTGGCTACTGGCTGCAGCCTTTTCAGGTAGGTGGGGTCTGTGACAGCACCAGAGGCTCCTCTGCAGCAAAGTATGGGCTCTGAACAAGCCAGTGTGGCTATAGAAGTTAAGTGCAGCTTCTGGGAAGGGGATCAGACTTCAAGACAAAGCCCAGCTTTGCTCTAGAGGGAAGGAGGTTTGGGACAGCTGTGTTCCACTCCCTTTGTCTTCTGGAAAAATGTTTTACTTGGCAGGCAAAGGGCTGAGTCTGCAAATCCAAAACTGACCTAATGCTGCTTTAGCCACAGCCTATCCTACACTCCAGACTCCTTCCTGGAGAGAGACCTGGAGAATTTGGCGTAGGCCAGATATCTGTCTGCACTTCATCTCTACCTATTTGCTTCAGAGAGAACCTGAAGCCCTTCCACCCCACTAAAAGGACCCAGGAATCATGAAAGATGGTTCAAAAACAAAAACATCAAATAATGACCCTGAACAGATTATATTAATCACTCTCCTTGCTCAGAGGACCTTCTGCTTCAAGAGTTGAGCTTCCACTTAGTCTCCCTTTACCCTTCAACTTGTTGGGTCAGACAGATCTCCCAGTGGCCCACACAGGATCTGAGCTTATTCTCTTGGGTTTTCAAGCCTGTCTCTTAGGATTTGCAATAGTGGTGACATCTATCATCACACTTCTGGGGTAAGAATATGGCAGATTAGACAAAGAACAGATCATTTGAGGTTAGGTTGTATTCCACAAAATGGTAAGCTATTTTTCTACTTCTTGAGGTCTCTTGACATCCCAGTTTGATCTCTGAAAACTCCTAGTAATATAGCTAGTGAGGCAATGATATTCAGTGCTATTGCATGTGTTCTTGAACTTTTGCAATAAAACCACTACTGAAGGTGATCTGAGTATATTTCTTAAGCTGGATACAAGCTGTTTTCATTTTATGTTATTCTACCTGTTACAGTTTGAATATGAAATGTCCCCCACAGGTCACAAGTTGAATGCTTGGTTCCCAACTAGTTGCTGAGATGATGAAAACTTTAGGAGGTGAGGCCTAGTTGGAAGAAGTAGGTTACTTTGAAGGTTATATGTGGTTCCCTGTCCCTTCCTCATTCTATCTTCAGGTGAATTCCCTCCTCCTCTACATGTTCCCACCACCATGATGCTGTGCCTCACCAGAACATTAATGGAACCAAAGGCTATGGACTGAAATCTCTTAAATAAGGAGGTAAAATAAATCCTTCTTCCCTTAGGTTGTTTCTGTCAGGTTTTGTGTGTGTGTGTGTGGTATTGGGGTTTGAACTCAGGGCCTATACCTTGAGCCACACCACCAGCCCTGTTTTTTTTGTGAAGGGTTTTCACAAGATAGGGTCTCATGAACTATTTGCCTGGGCTGGCTTCGAACCAGGATCCTCCTGATCTCTGCATCCTAAGTAGCTAGGATTACAGGTGTAAGCCAGCGGTGCTCAAATCTGTCAGGTATTTTGTCACAGTGATGAGAAAAGCTAATATAAACTACCTTATAATGTTTTAAATCTATTCCATTTTAATAAAAGCAGTTTTTCAGAGTTAATCTGTCACCAATGTTCTCAAAGTCCCACAGATTCCTCCTAAATCTGGATATTCTCTTGAGTCACTGACTTCCTTCCCAAATTCAAGGGGAGACAGTTTTCACCTCTGTTGTGTTTAATTTAAAAAATATTTATTGATCAACTAATATATGTCAAAGATGCTGCAGTGAGGAAGCCAATGTCCCTGCTCTCATAGAGCCTTTATCTTTACTGGGGGAGTCAGACAATAATATGTAAATAAGGACTGGTTCACATGGTAATAAGTGCTCTGCCTAATGTGCTGGTAAGTGTTGGTAGTTACTTTGGATTATAGGTCAGGATCTGGAGGTAACATCGCTGCTGAGCCATGAACAACAAAAAACTTGACACATGACCTAGTGAACTAGCAGTGCAGGCAGAAACAAGAGCTAAACAAAGATCCTTCATTCCAATTGGTTTTCTTCTCTCCAATTATAGTCCATTTACAGCAGTCTACACCTATGTGGTCATTGATTCAATTATAACACCAGTCCTCATTTAACCTGGCCCTATGCTTGGCTCTACAGTGAGGAAAATAGAGGCAGCAATAGGCCTTTGCCAGCACTTGATCCTGGCAAGATAGAAAAGACCCACACCCTGACACAGTACAGGGCACCATGCAGGTCCAGAGATGCCCAAGAAATCACCCAGACATTGCAGCTGTAGGAATTCCATGGGGAAATAATCAACTGCTTTTTATATGTCATAGAAAAAGGTTATGTTTTTTTAATTCCTGAGCAAAGAAAAAGTTGACTTGTCAGTTGTAGCTGAAGCGATCAACATCCTACTCTCATTCCTCAAACTTTATTCCAGCCTCACTAAACATTATTCCTTCACCTGGGTTCCAGCTGAATGCCAACAATTTGTGTCTCTGTTCCCTAGGACTGATTCCTAAAACTGGAAGTCTGCCTTTGCCCAGGCCTAGCAGGCCAGGAGAACCTGGGGATCATCACTCCTGGGAGCATCTCTCAACCAAGGACTCTCAGGAGATGGTCTATGAATATCCAGCTCCCTCACCCCTCAGATGGGGTGACTCTGGAAGTGTTTCTTCTGCATTGGTCCCCAGAGTAACCCAGCAGGATTACATTCCAGCAGTCCACCATGGTAGCTAGCTTAATAATATACACTTTGTTGGTTACCTTCCTTGTTTTGCTTCCCTGCTCCCTGAATGTTTCCTAAGATCCTGTCTTAGTCCCTTTGGACTGCTATACCAAAATACTCAAAGCCTAGAGGTAACCAGACACCAACTTCTTAAGAGTTACATAGGACTTGCTTAAGTCCTCCAATAGTGAATTGTGATAAGACATGTAAAAAGCTGTCTTCCAGGGAAGCTCATGAGAGATTCAGTGCTGAGGTTTTTCCAGGGGACTGGTCACATAGGCACCCTCTGCCCAACACATAGCAGGAAGGAAATCAGGTGTTCAGTCTAAACCATACTGTTTACACAAACAGTTTAGG